CTGGCTGGAAGGGTGGCTGAGATGATGGGTAAAGAGGTTTCTTGTGTCCTGCAGAGTTTCCTGGGCACAGGAGGATTAGTCAGCCCTGCCTCACCTTCCTGGCAGAGGGACACAAGCAGCCATCGACAGGTACGGGGGCTCAGTTCATGAACTGCCGCCACCCCTGGGTCCGTCCCTAGGAGGCTGGAATTGGGCAGGTGGTGGAAAGTTTTCTGTGATCTGGAAGAAATGGAGAGAAAATTGCTGCAGCCAGGGCCTGGAGTAGTAGCTCTGGAGTCTCTGGGTGCCACAGAGCTGTGACCTGAATTGGGCTCACATTCTGACCTCAGCTTTCCCTGCTGTAACGCATGACGGGGAAGGCCCTGATCTGCCTGTTCCTGGAGGCAGAAGGCCCTGGGTGTACCCAGCTGTCTGGATGCGCCTCCTCCAGGAAGGAGAGACTTCGAGGGAAGCTGAAGATTCTCACCAGGGCCAGGGTTCCTCGGGAACCCAGGCTGTGCGGCGAGTCTCCTGCTCCTCCTGGGCACAGGGACGTGGCTAGCTTGCAGGGCTGGCTTCGAGTGGCTGGACTGGTTTAGGGCACTGTTTTTTCAGCTGGTGGGAGGGGGTGGAAGTGTGCGCATGCCTCCTTCCCGCAGCCCCTGTGGGGACAGGTAGGAGGATCACAGTGGTTGGGACTCAGATGGCCTTGGGTTCTAGTCCCAGCTTCATTGCTTTTTAGCACTGCGACCTCGAGCTACTTTCTTAACCTCTTAAAGCCTCAAATCCTCATTTGCAAAGTGGAAAAAATGATAGTATCTTCCCAGCAGGATTCTGTCCTCATTAAATGAGCTAGAGGCACATAAACTGCTGAGCACACCACTTGGCAAGCAGTGAGCTCTCGGTAAATCACAGCGCTTTATGATGAAGGTGACAGCAGGAACTCTATTCTCTCCCCAAACAAGAGCCCGGCCCAGCCAGAGTGCAAGCAGACTCCCTTCTCCCATCGCTCTCCAGGCAGGGACGGAGAGGGAAAATATTGTTTTGTGTGAATTCGGGAGCCAAGTTAAAGAGTCCCGCAAGCGAGCAGGGGCCGCCCCCTCCGGTGAGGCTGTTTCCCTAACCCGAGGACAGGGCGCCTAGTCTAGTGGGATGTTTGCTGTCTCCCCCACGCCCTCTGCCTGGCCTGGGGATGGCCTCTGGCCTGGGGCAGCTGTCCTGTTCTGGGAGGCTGGTTGAGGCTGTCCTTATCCTGTGGGATCGCAGTCCACCTGCCACTGCATGTGGGAGCAGGGAGCCGGCACCCCAGGTCCACATCCAGCCCTCTACACCCGCACCTGGTTTCTATTGTGCCATACCATGCAACAGCCATGGGAAAGCTGAGTGACATACAGAATCACTAGCCTCATTCTCTGTCCCCAGCACTGGGGTGGAGCCAGGTTCCAGTCCCAGCCTGGTTACTTGGCACCCACGGGCAGCTGAGGCACTGGGGGAGAAGCCATGCACGCTCCAACCTGAGCGCACTGGACCATGGATCCGGAACTCTGGTCTGCCATGGTACCTTTGCGCCCTGTGGCCACGGGTGTCACTGCTGCCGTTGCCTTTAGTGCTGTGACCTTCCAGGGCCCTTTGGTGTGCTCCTATGCCTGGCGTGGAGGAGGCCGAAGAGATATAATAGGAGTCATGGGGAAAGGCACGGTTTTGTGATAACTCGGGGCAAGGCCGGAGGCTTGGCTCTGTCACTCCCAGAATGCACAGGCAGTGTGAAGGTCACAGAAAGCCCAGCCTTTCCACCGCCTGTGCTCTGATCTCTTTAGGAACCCTGTGTTTGACAGCTGTTGTGTTTGGATGTCTGGTTGGTACTTTGCTAAATGATTCCCAACTCTTCAGTTATATCTGGGAAGCCAGCATGTCTCAGGGGAACTGTGCTGGCATCGTGGGTGCACCCCTGGGTCTGTGCTCGTATCATGCCAGTATTGTTCATCCCCAATTATCCATCTGGGCAGGGGACAGAGATTCCATCCACTCAGAGCTGTGTCCCCAGAGTCTGGTGCATGCCATGCTCCCCCTGTGACTGATCCTGTCCTGCAGTACCCTGAGGAAGGCCTGTGCCCGTGGTCTCGGTACTTTGCATCATCAGAAGTCTGTGGAGGCCAGCACATGGGGAGGTAGACGTTATCCACCAGGCCACCTGTCTCCTCTTGGCCCTTGGCCCGTCAGTTCATATGTCGTGTGAAGTCCAACACCCAGAGTGGAACAGAGTGTCTCACAGGTTCCCTGACCTTGCAGAACAATGGGCTCAGCCCTCCTGTCCAGGAGATACGCGTTCACGCAGCCTGAGATTATGTTTACTTTTCCCTTGGCAGCTACCTCGGGTTTGTTGATTCATGCTCAGCTAAAACCAAGGACTTTCCTCTTTGGTCATGTACTGCTCTTCGCTGATCCAAAGTGCAAGGCTTGGAATATAAAAGACTTTGCACCTTAATTTTGAAATGTGTTTTCCTATTTATTTATTTAGCGATAGGGTCTCACTGTGTAGTTCAGGCTGACCTTGAGTCCTCTGTGTAGCCCAGGCCAGTCTTGCACTCACAACAATGCTCCTGCCTAGGCTTCCCCGCTGGGATTACAGGCATGGGCTAGCACACCCAGCTGGTTAGTATTCTCTGTCCACATGATTTTGAGACTCAGCATTGCTACTGCACTGCCCACAGTCATCTTGACTTTTGCATCTTCTACGCATAGGATCTGGAAGCTTATCAACATCCTCACTGTGTCACTGATAAAAATGTGAGAGAGTCCAGGCTTTGGGGATAGATAATCATGGAGAGCACCATCTGGATTGATAATGACCAGTACTGATTGGGCCTGATGCTTGTCTGCCTTTGGCAGGACCCAGTCAGTCCTGGCTCCACCCTACATTTCTGTCTCATCCACATGAGTATCTTTAAGCCCATCTGTGACCGCCTTGCAGAAATCTAGATGGACCGCATTCCACAGGACCTCAAGGCTACGCAGAAGGGGACGCGCTTAGAGGCCAGCGTGACCCGTCCTTGGCAAATCTTTACGAGCTCTCCATCCCATCGCTGCTGCCGAGTATTCCAGTCCATCCTCCTTTCCCCATTGCTGAGAGTTTGGGTTTGCTTTCCAGTTTCTGGAGTCCTCCTCCCTTTCCTTGTTCTGAATCTAGGGACAGATTGTCTTCTGCCATCTGCTCTGCTCCCCACAAACCACTGGGGTGACCAGAGGCCGTGACTCTGTGGCCAGTGATTCGATTCCCCTAAAGGTGTTCTCCGCATCTGCTTTATTTTAAGTTGTCTGTTCTAAGATCGCTATCTGGGATGACAGAGGCAGGAGGCTGCTCCCATCTCATCCTCCGTCTGTTTAACGTCAATACGCAGGGCCCCAGTACTTCCTCATTCTCCTGCCCCAGCCCCGGTGTAGGTTTTTCCGAAGCCTTTTGGGGTTGAAGGCAGAGCCTCGCCTTGCATACCTAACGCCCTTCATACCTAATGCCCTGCATACATAAGGCCTTGCATACATAAGCCCTGGAGAAAAATAAAACCAGAAACACTTTCTCCCCCCCCCCTGGTTGCTTCTCAGTGTTTTAGTTTTCCTTTGGAGCCTGTTGGTATTCAAGCGGCCTCTGGTTATTTCATGCCTAAGTGATTTGTCCAGCAACACAGTGAGCTTTCTGCAGGCAGGACCCCATTTTCCGTGTACCCCATAAAAGGATGCTTCGCAGCCTTTGGAGGTGCTCTGGAGCTGCCAGGAAGGTTCAGGGCAGAAAGTCGAGTGCGGTTTGCTGGTGTGTCAGACAAGCATGTCATCATGGAAAATTCTTCACGGAGTGTGCAGATCCATTTACACGGCCTCCGCTGCGTCTGTGAACTGCGCATTCCTCTGCACAATCCACCCGTTCCCGCTTCCCCACCAAACCTCAGCCCTGCCTGGGGGAGGTTAGGGCGCACCCCCCCCCCTTTCCATCCTGCACAAGGTCTCTCTCTTCTGCTTTCTTTGGCTCAGTTTTACAGGGAATTTGACCAAGTTCCAGGTCTCGTCAGGATGGGTCCTCCTGGGGCTTTCCCTGGGTGATAGGACTTGAACCCCTGACCTTTTGATTAGGGGACTCCTGGGATGGAGGGTTGGTCCGCTGATAGAGCCCATGGGCAGGTCCTGCTGAAGGATGGGGAGAGGCGGGTCTACTCCAATAGGAACAGGTTTGGCGCCTCAGAGAGAAGAAGCAGGCTTTCTTGGACTTTCCAGCGGACTTCCCAGGTGACTTCTCACCTCCTGTCCCCAGGTGCTGTGGGAACTGATAGGGTAATTTCCAGGCACTCCAAATTACACTTCATTCCTCTGACCTGTCCTGGCCTAGATAATATTCCGCCCAAGGCAGAGGGAACAAAGGAGCCAGGAGGGGGGTGGGGGAGACACATGACATCCAACAGGAAGAAGAGGGTGAGCTGGAGTCTCAGCATGGGGCAAGGAAGGCCAGTGGCCCCGCCTGCCCCCCCCGGGGGGGGGGTACAGGTCAGCAGGGTCCTGAGCTGACCTCAGCAGGGAACCTACTGCGGGCTGAGAGGGCTCAAGGTCTTTCTGGGCTAGTACTGGAGAGGGGGTCTGGCCTCTGCTGAGTGACAGGAGGGGACCTTCAGTGTGTGTCTATCACAGCTGACTCTGAGAAGCACCACAGAGTAGTGCAGTGATGCCCCAAGTGTCGCCCCTGCTCCTCAGCAGCGCTTCTGAATCACACCCTGAGGGTGGGTGGGGCCCTGCCTGGCTGTTTAACGAGCCCCGCCCGAGATGCTGGCTCAGGCTGGTAAGTTTAACTTAGGAGTCAGGTTGCTTGGGTTCAGAGCCGTGCCCAGCTGGGTGGCCTTGAACAAGCTGCTGAACCCCTGAACCTCTATAAAACATCTCGTCTGCACAGCAGCAGACACCAACCAGCCGCCACCTTGTTTCTGTGATGATCAAACGGAGTCCAATACCTCTGACGTTCGTTGGCTCTGCTGTCTTTTTAGGTAGTGTCTGATGCAGCGGGACAGGGCGTGGCCATCATGGGGAACCAGACCTTCAACAACTGGAACTGGCCCAACGCGATGATTTTTGCAGCCACGGTCATCACCACCATCGGTAAGGGCGCCCACTACTCCCATAGCCTCTCTCCTGGGAACCCTGCAGGAGTCCGACTCCGGTGACTCAGCCTTTTGGGGATAGAAGGCAGCAGTTGGTCCATCCTGACTGGTAAGTCCGTGGTGATGGCCTTGCTGCAAGTCCGTTTCCATGGATGCTGACCTGGGCATGTTGAATAGAGAGAGTAGAGCCACACAGCCCAAGGGCCCAGGTCACGCAGACAGGACCCATCGGTGACTGTACCCACCCCGATTCTCTCTAGTTGTATAACCACCCCAAAAGCAGAGGCTTCCCACACACACATTTTTGTTCTCTTCCGTGGTGCCTGGCGTCCAAGATGGTGTTGTCATGTTTGACGGCTGGTGTTGGCTGTTGGCGAGGCATGACTACAAGGGAGATTGACAGTGAACATTTTCAAAGAATTGGGAGGCACAGCCGGCTGGTCAGACCTTAGCCTACCCCACACGACTTCTGCCGCTTTCTGTGGTCAAGCAAGTCAGAAGGCCCGGATGTGAAGGGAGAACAGACTCTACTTGTTGAGGGACCTTGTAGGAAGGAAGTTGGGTTGAGAATGGCTGTCTTTGGAGGCTCCCCCGAGGGTGTCTGCTGGCCTGGTTGGCACCGCGGTACCGTAGTTGGCACTGCTGATGGTGAAGGCACAGTCCCCTGCCTCCAGGGAGCTCTGGTGGGATGGAGGAGACACAGCCTTGTATGTACCATCATAACTGTGGTATAAATGATGGTGGCGATGGAGGGGGAGCTACCATTATGTAAGTGTTAATTTTTAATATTAGATCAGCGTCTCTTGATCTTAGAGGGTAGGATTCCCTCAGGCTGGGTACTAGGGAGGGGTGTTAGGGGGCAGGGATGGACCCTGTGTGTGTGTGTGTGTGTGTGTGTGTGTGTGTGTGTGTGTGTGTGTGTGTGGTGTGTGTGTGGTGTGTGTGTGTCTATGTCCTCAGCCCTCTTCTTCCTCAGGTTATGGCAATGTTGCTCCCAAGACCCCGGCCGGCCGCCTCTTCTGCGTCTTCTATGGTCTCTTTGGAGTGCCACTCTGCCTGACGTGGATCAGTGCCCTGGGCAAGTTCTTCGGGGGACGAGCCAAGAGGCTAGGCCAGTTCCTCACCAGGAGAGGCATGAGCCTGGTATGTCCATAGTTCTAGGTGCCGGGCAGCAGGGAGGGGACAGGTCAAGGGCTGCACAGGGGTGTTAGGACACCCCTGCCTTACGGGGTCAGGCTGGGAGCCTCCTTCCCTGCCTTCTGGACCATTCTAGCTGCCTCTCGGCCTTCTGGGCGTCCCTGCTGGGTTTCCAGGCTCGGCCGCTGTCTGACTCTGTCTCCTGCACCCTCAGCGGAAGGCGCAGATCACGTGCACGGCCATCTTCATCCTGTGGGGCGTCCTGGTCCACCTGGTGATCCCGCCCTTCGTGTTCATGGTGACCGAGGAGTGGAACTACATTGAGGGCCTCTACTACTCCTTCATCACCATCTCCACCATTGGCTTCGGCGACTTTGTGGCCGGTGAGTCCCCGCCCGCCGCCTTTCCTTGGCTCTGCCTCCTCACCTCTTGTCTCTGGGCCTAGGTGTGAGGCCACCTGCCTGAAACGCTGGCCTTTTACCCAGAGGCCTTCGAGAAGGGAACTGAGCTGAGATGGGAGCTGCCTTAGAGGCCTCATTTTTCTGAAGCAGAAGCTTTGACCTCCACACGCACCTCTGAAGACAAGGGTGGCCTTCTTCTCCGGCTGCCCTGCCCCCTCAGCTCTGCCGCTCCTCTTCCTCCTCCTGCACTTAGTCCTCACTCTGAGCCCCACATTTAGGCCCAGGGCCTGCCAGCTCATCTTCATCTTCCCCACCCCAAGGGCAGACCCTGCACTGAGAGGGCCAACGCCCACCTCTGCTCTGCTGTGGCCTGGGCCTTGCCCCAGCTCCTGACCCCAGGGGCAGAGGAGGTCGCCCCCATTGTGTGCAGCCTGCTGGGAGGGGCTGCTGGGGCTGCCGAGGGGTGGGAGGAACAGGAGTGGCCTGAACACACCACCAGGCCTGGCGAATCAGCGCTGAGCCCTCTGGGAGAGGAATTCAAGGCACAGTCCTGCCTTTGTCCAGGGCGCTTCGGCCCACAGTGGCCAGAGAAGCCTTTGTGCTGGGGGAGCCCAACAGTGCTCTTTCCCCAGCTCCAGCAGGACACTGGGCTTCTGCTTCCATTTTCTCATCTGTAAAATCCAAGGGCAAAGAGTAGGACCTGGGCGCTGTGCCCACCACACTGTGCAACGCTCACAAGTCTTGAGCAAGGTTGATGGCACCCCTCAGACAGAGCCCCAGGCCCGAGCCCTCTGGAGGGGCAGATCAACATGGCTGTAAGGGCAGAGTCACAAATGGAATCTCAGACCACCCTGGGCTGCAGAAAAACCGCCAGAGTGGGAGGCTGGGGGTTCCTGAGGCCCTGAAGCAGGTCTCAAGAGTGGAGGGTAGTAGCATGGGCAGAGCCGTCCCAGAAAGCTGAAAACAAGACTGCAGCCTTGGAGAGGCCTGAACACAGCTCTGAATGTGTCCTGCCCCGCTCAGGCTTCCTGGTCATCACAACCCATGCACTGGTCTCATTCAGTGCACCCCCAGAATGACAGCTCTTGTCCTCCCCTGCTGAGCTGCCTTCTTACACACCCCAGCTGGGCAGAAGAGTGACTGAAATGCCCATCCTCATGGGCTGCCCCCTCCCCCTCCTCCCATCACCCCCATCCCCCTCGCTCTAGTGGGGATTAGAACCTATAGCCTTTGCCCTGAACTATATCCCCAGCCCCCTCACCTGTTTTGTTTTGGTTTTTTACTTTTGATTTTGACCCAGGGTCTCACTAGGTGGCCCAGGCTGGGCTAAAACTTGGGATTTTCTTACATCAGCCTCCCAGGGTGCTGGGATTACAGGTGTGGGCCATCACACTTTTGCATGGGCTGTTTCTCAGCCCAAGGTTTTGTTAGTTTCCCATCCCCCAGAAGCCTCTTTAACTGTCTTTTTTGAACTGATTGTATATAGCCCTGGCTGGTTTCAGACTGTGACAATCCTCCTGTCTCAGCCTCCTGAGTACTGGGATTACAGGCGTGTGCCACTATGCTTGGCAACTTTCCTCACTTTTATAATTGAGGAAACCGAGGTCCAGATGGGCATGAGTGACTGGCCATGGTTCTTTGGGAAGACAGTGAGCTGGGGATGGTCCAGGGCTAAGCTGTACTCTGGCCACTGCTGACTCCTGGGCCTCTCTGCTCTCTCAGGTGTAAACCCGAGCGCCAACTACCACGCCCTGTACCGCTACTTTGTGGAGCTCTGGATCTACCTGGGGCTGGCCTGGCTGTCTCTCTTTGTCAACTGGAAGGTGAGCATGTTTGTGGAAGTTCACAAAGCCATCAAGAAGAGGCGGCGGCGGCGGAAGGAATCCTTCGAGAGCTCCCCACACTCCCGGAAGGCCCTGCAGGTGACCGGAAGTGCAGCCTCTAAGGATGTCAACATCTTTAGCTTTCTGTCCAAGAAGGAGGAAACTTACAATGACCTCATCAAGCAGATCGGGAAGAAGGCAATGAAGACCAGCGGGGGTGGGGAGAGGGTCGCAGGACCAGGTCCCCGGCTGGGATCTCAAGGCAATGGGTTGCCAGGGGTCCCTGCATCCCTGGTGCCCCTGGTGGTCTACTCCAAGAACCGGGTGCCCAGCCTAGAGGAGGTGTCCCAGACACTCAGGAACAAAGGCCATGTGTCCAGGCCACCCGGCGAGGAGGTTGGAGACCCCGAGGCTGGCTCCCCAACCTCTGAGACCTTCAGCAACCAGCTGGACCGCATCAGTGAGGAAGGCGAGCCCTGGGAGGCCCTGGACTACCAGCCGCTCATCCTGCAGACCGCTGACATCACCTTCGTGAGCGAGGAGGCCGGCGTATTGGACGAGGAGACCTCCAAGTCCTCGCTGGAGGATAATCTGGCTGGGGAGGAGCCGCCCCCGGAGGGAGCTGCAGCCCAGGCACCCCTGAACGTGGGCGAGATCCCCTCATCTTCAGACGAGTCCACCTTCACCAGCACCGAGTCGGAGCTGTCTGTGCCCTACGAGCAGCTGATGAACGAGTATAATAAGGCCAGCAGCCCCAGGGGCACATGAGGCAGGGCCGGCTCCCCACCCCGCCCGAGATAGGGGGCAGCCCTGGGATGGGAGTGGGGGGCCGAGGGCCTTGTTCTCCTTCTGTCCCCTCCAGCCAGATACTCCGATGGATGTGGTGTGGGCCCAGGACAGGGTCTTTGCCCTCCAGCCAAGCGGCGCCTGGTGGCAGGGAGGCTGCTGTCCTGGCTGGGGCCATTGTCTTTGGTGGTTGGAGGATCATGGGCAGCAGGACTGACCCCAGGAGGGCCTGTGCCTGTGTGGCTCTTCCCCCTGCATGTGGGTGACTGTCACATGGTCCGTGGAGGCCTGGGCCTCCGCTGGTCCACCAGTGTTAACGAGCAGCTCTGTGGGGCAGGCACTGAGCTTGGCATTTTGGAGAGGGTTGGAGGAGCCCACGACACCCGGCTTCTGCCTTGTCCAACCCGACAGTGTTTAGGGACAGGGACAGCTGGGATGTTACTACCCCAACAGGGGTGAGACCCAGCCCCCTGCCTGCCCTGCTGGTCTGCCCTTGTTCCTGGGCCTAATCAAGGACCTCGCTGTCCACCAGTACCCCCACTTCCTCCCGTGCCAGACTGAGGGGGAGGGGCCAAATTGCCCTTGGCTCCCAGATGGGCTATGGCCAAAAAATGTGAATGGAGCTCCTTTCTCCGGCTCCTGTATGGTGTGCTTGTGCATGCAAGTGTGCGTGAGTGTCAGGAAGGGAAGTGTCAGGCTGGGGAGAAAAGATAATGTGAAACTGTTTTGGGTGAGAGGCGGTGGGTGGCTAGAACTCCCTGCTGCCTCAGTTCTTGGGTTTTCAGTGATGCTCACCTAGACCAGCTCACGTCGCCCTGAATGTTTTTGCTATATATATATTTTTTTCTTAATGAACTACTGTTTTTATACCTGAATCTGTTGTTGGTTTCAGAGCCAGTAAAGAGCAGGGTTTAGAGAATTGGGGTATCGGATGTATATCCTGCTGTCCCCCACAACTCACCTGGGCCTTTTTGCTGAGCCAAGGCCATGATGTCAAGAGCTGTGACCCCTATGCATGGTTAGGGAGGGAGGGGACACTGAGGTTAGAGGTGGAGAGGGGCACCTGGCATGCAGCTGGATGCTAGGTCAGAGCCCAGGCTGCCACCTCAAGCCAGTACCCTCTGTCCCTACTGCCACCTCTGCTATGGGAAGTAACCTGGGACCCTAGCAGGGTCCACACACCCTCATTTTCTGAGCGGTTGCTACAGGGCGGGAAGGGTGGCCTGCGTGGCTCTGAGCGGTTCCTGAGCCCAGCCAACTGCCAGCTGTCCTGGAATCGTACGCTGTGTACACACTGGCAGTGGCGGCAAATGTAATTTATTTTACCATTTTTACAATAAAATGTGGACAGGCCAGCTTGGTGTCTGCTGTGTGTTCCGGGGAAGGTGGTGGGGGACGGAACAGGCTGGTTTATGGCCCCTGGGGATGGAGAGGCCATGGGGAGGAAGACCCACGGAGGGCGAAAGGCCTCGGGACAGGCTGACATGGAGAAGATGGGGTGGCCTCTCAGGTTAGGGTGCAGAGGAGCCCAGGGGGTGGGACAAACTCTGCCCTTTACCACTTTCCAAAGACTTCACAGCCAGTAAGACATAGGGGACACCTCTGACCCTGGAGCACATCTGTCAGATGGACACAGGGAGACTGCTGTGCAACATCTCTGTAAAAACATGACCTGGATTCCGACCCTGGCTCCCTCAGCCACCATGACGGGCCGGGAAAGGCAGCCCGTGGTTTGGGGCAGGGCAGGTCTGCTGTCTGGAAGAGGCTTTGCAGACGGGCAAGCGGGCCAGAGGGCTCTGGGAAAGACCAGACCTTCTGAGCCTAGCGTCTGTGCTGGACGCACAGGCCAAGAGGAGGGCATTCTGGGAACTGGGAAGATGGTGGGAGCCTGACCCAGCTCAGCGGAGCCTCCATGTCCATCTGATAAGGAAACCAAGAGTTCGTGAGTTCAAGAGTGAGCCAAGTTTTGCATGAGGCCTGGGATTCAGCAGATGCATGAATTCCACCAGCTGAGTTTGAAAACAGTGAGGGAGGTGTGTCCTGAGGTTGATGTGTCCTGCAGACTTAGGCCCAAGACAGGAGGGTCAGTGGTCATTGTTCCCCAGAATATACAGTGACACCTGCCGATGAGGTGTTGAGTAATCCGGAGGTGGTTTAATTGTCTGGGAGGATGTGTGCCAGTTCCACGGAAGTGCTGTGTGCCCTTTGATATCAGGGACTCGTGAGCATTGTGACTTTGGAACAAAGCTTCCATGCCAAGGCTCCGGTAGACTTGATATCACCCTTCCACCCCGGCACAAAACCCGCGCCCCGTCTCTGATTTTATCATAGCCCCACCGGCCCTGAAGGTAGCACCCCACACACCTGTATGCCTTTTACTGCGCGGAGCTCTCCCGACTCGCCCTCCACCTGCTCCTTTCTTGAAACAACAGTTTCCCCACCTGGCAGCTGAGGGCAGGGCTTTCTCAGCGGCTGCAGCAGGAGGCCCGGCCCTGCGGCCTGGCGCTCTGGGTGATGGAAGCACAGCCTGAAGCCAGACTGAGCCCAGCTGGAGCTGTGGGCTCCCGCAGCCAAACTCTGTCTGGAACTTCCTTGAAGAGACGGTGGGCAGAATCGGAGGCTGGACAGCAGCTGTGGCGAAGCCAGTTCCTAAGAGAAGACCAGGCTCCAGGGTGGCTTCTTCAGGGGATCCTCGGGCTTTCATCTCAGCTCTACTCATCTGCCTGCTTCGTTCTTGAAATAAGTTTCCCTGTTTCCAAATTCACCCCCGCCCCGGCCCGGATGTGGTTCTGTGAATGCCTCCCTGATCCCCTGGGTCTCCCAACGGGGGCTTGACAGGTATCTGTGAGTGGATGCCTGGGTTCTCTCAGCGGGTCTCCCTGGCTCTAGCACAGACTCCCTCCTGGCCACAGCAGCAGCCTGCGTGGTTTACTCCCCTCTCTCCTGCCTGAAGCTCCTCGGGGTGTCCCCTTGCTCTTCTTGGGGTCCGCTCTCTCCATCCTCCTCTTTCACCCTTTATCCTCTCCCTGGACTCTGCCACACTGCCTGTGCTGGTCCCTCTGCCCTGGCCCTTCCTCTGTCCTGGGCCCGGCCTCAGACTGTGCTGAGGTCGCCTATGTGTCAGTTTCCTGGGTCGCCTCTCTTGGGGACCACCTCTGTCCCTGTGCACCTTCCCCATGGGAGAGTCACTGGAGGTGGCAGGGGGTGGCTTGTTCACGGCCCACGTGATGAGGGCTCTGCTCCCCAGAGTTTACTAAACGCAGGGTAAGTGAACCTGAGCCCCGTCCCCTCCCTCTGCAATTGAGTCCCTCTTCTGGGACAGAGGCCAAGTCAGGGCCTAAGGCTTGTTCCACGAGGGCGAGTCCCAGCAGAACCGGGTGGATGATCTTGAGGGACCTCGTGGCAGGCTGAGGTGGCCTGATGAGTCACCTCATCCCATGCCAAGTCACCTGTGTCCGGAGGGCAGGACGGGGACGCGGCACACGTCCCTTCTCTGCAGCATGGAGGGAAGGACCAGCCTCTACTCCCACATCCTCCACACCTCCTGCCCTCTCCTTTCACGGCTACTGGGCGGTCAGCGAGCTGGGCCTCTCCCCGAAGCTCCCAAAGCCGCTGCTTCCGCGGGGAATAAATACCTCTGCTTTTGGTGACCCCTTAGCCTAGCCACACCCATTTACAAAGCTCCTTCCCACCCATTCCTTCACGGGGGGATTGCCCAACAACCCCAGGAGCCAGGCACAATCACTTACAGCCCAACCGCAGGGCCTTTCTTAAGTGAGAACACCCAATGTCTTGCTTTGCTTTTCTGGGAGAGCGAAGCCTTGGGCTAGGTCCAGGGAAAGGTCAGAAAGGGAGGAGGAGACACAGGCAGGGAAAGGAGAAAAGGCCACGAAAACAGATTTTTGAGCTAATTCCAGTGGGCAGGGTGGGCAGCCGGGGCTCAGTCGCCTATGGAAGACCCCTCAGCCTCCTGTGCCTGAAGGATGGGACCTTCCTCACCCATGAGTTCCCTCCCACCTTTGGTGGGTACGAATAGCCCCAAGGGAACTGGTCCCTACCTTCCTGCCCCTTACCTCCCAATAATACCCACAACAAGACCACCCATTCTGCTGGCGCAACAGGAAGTGGTGCCCCTTCTCCTTGAATGCGGGCCAGCCCCAGGGCCGCTTCGATCAGTGGATTATGATGGAAGTGACCTCCTGTTTGTGAATTCAGGTGTATTAAGGCCTGGCGGATTCCACTTCTGTGCTATGGAGGAAGCCAGCCACAGTGTAAGGAAGCCAACCAAGTACCTTGAGACCCGTGGTGTGAAGAAGCCCAAACTAGCCACCTGGAGATGCCCAGCTAAGAACTGACCCAGCTGAGCACTGTTTTAAATATTCCAGCCTCACCTGAAGCAGAGAGACCAGCCATCCTACAAACTGCAGAACAATGAGCAAATAAATGACTGTTGTGGTTGGAAGCTTGTGCTTTAGTCTATTTTATGTTGCTGTAACAAAATACCTGAGACTATCTTATAAAGAAAAGGCTTATTTAGTCCACAGTTCTGGAGGTCTGAAGGCATGGCCTTGGCATTGGCTTTGGTAAGAGCTCAAGGTGGACAGCGCCCCAAGTAGGAGTGGATGAGGCGTGGCAGGAGGGGAAAGAGAATGACATAAAGAGGAGTCACATGCCGAGGGCAAAAGAAAGTCAATTGTATAACTAATCCAGTCCCTTGAGACCTAACCCTATCCCGTAACACTGGCATTAATCTCTTCCAAAGTGGGTCCCTAAGGTCTTTAATCTCTTCCAAAGTGGGTCCCTAAGGTCTTAATCACCTCCCATTGGGCTCTACCTCTTAAAGGTTTGCTGTCCTATAATGGTGCTGACAGCTCCATTAGAAGCCTCCATCCAGCACATGTGTCTTTAGGTGACAAACCATATCGCAACTGTAGTGGCCTGTAAAGTTTGGGACTGGTTTGTTACAGAGCAATAGGTAACAATGTTTGCCCCAGGCTATGTCACCTGCTGGGCTCCAGAGAAAGGCCTGAGGTGGACACAGTGGCACCTAGGCACACAATGTGACACTGTGTGGTGGCACTCAACTACAGCTTTGGTGAAGTCCAAAGTGGGACAAGGGTTGAGGACACCTGGCACAATAAGCAACAGAGTGGAGACCAAATGTCAGCAGGTCTTTAACCCTCACCAGGGGCTCTACTGCTGCTGTAAGACTGGTTTTGCGTGTCCACAGTACCGAAGTCCCTTCTGTGCTGAGGTCTGAGTCCTGGCTTGTGTATAAATGGTAGTGGGAGGGCCGGAGTCTTCTATTCTCTAACCTAATGACCTTAATTACCGTGTCTGTCATTTGTAATAACTAGACACTGACCTGGATTTCTGGTTTTAGACAGGGTCTCACTGTATAGTTTGGGCTGGCCTTGAACACACAGTAATCCTCCTGCCTCAGTCTACGGGATGCACCACCACGTCTGGCCTGACCAGGGTTCTTTATGTACATGATCTCATTAATACTCGAAGATCAATACTATTTCCTTTTTTGGAAACTGAGGCTGAGAGTAGTTTTACAACTTGCTCAAGGTCATACAAGCTAGGGAACCAGGAGTTCTTTACTATGTCAGCCTGCCAGGACAGTGCTCTCCTCCTCAGGGCAAGATTGCTCAGGGACAGGGCCCTGAGGTTGTCCCGGGGACAGCAGTGCCCAGCCTTTCCCCAGGCTGCCCTCCTTGGCAAGCCAGCAAGGCGGTGCACATCTCAGGCAAGAAGTGACTCTCCGAGAACCGCTGGGGATTCCTGGGCTCTGCCTGTGGAAGGTTCTGATTCAGAAGGCCAGGGGGAAGCCCTAGCACCCCAGGCTCTGGGAACATCTGGCTGGACAGAACAGATGTCAGACAGGCTCTGCATCACTAGCATGCCCACCCAAGCTGTTCCTGCCTGTGTTTATATTCTGCACTGAAATCTGCATTTACCTCGGCTTCTGGAAAACTTGCTCAGTATTCTCTGATATTTTTGCCTGGCAGCTCAGCGTCTGCATCTCCTGTGCTGATCTCACACGCCATGCCATGCAGATCACCTGCATTCGCTGAGTCTCTTGGAGGTTGCCTAGAACACCCAATGTGGGTAATGGAGGAGGGAGGAAATTGAGGGACAATGACCCATTGTCCCTCCTCACTCTGTGCCTCTCTGTCTCTCAGCTCAGAGCCTCCCCGCCCCCAGCAGTTTGGTTCACTCCACAGGCAGGTTTCTGACCCAGGGGCCTCGAGATTGTTTATGCCACTCATGGAAGCTGATGCTTAACTTTCCAGAAAAGTTGCAAGCTGGTTGTTAAACCACAGCCACTCTTAAAATTTAAATTATATGG